CCAAAGGTCTCTGGGCGGCTTACAACATAATAGCAAATAGGCTGAAAAATTATCTAGGGGAACTTATTCATCCAGATCAAAATGGTTTTTTCCTAAAAGACAACTGAGACATAACTTGAGAGTTATAATGGATATCTTGGAGTACCATGAAACACACCCAGATAAACAGATGGCCTTACTATTTCTGCACACACAGAAGGCTTTGACAACGTAAATTGGAAATTTAAGCTTAACTGGACGTTTTTTGAGGAACTGAATAAATTAACCCTAAGATTCATCTCGTCAAAGAAAAAGAAAGAAGCAAGGATAAAAACCAAATTACTGCAGGAGGCGAAAGAAAGAGGAGGCTTTGGCCTACCAGATTGGACACTGTACTACCAAGCTTCAGTTTTGGAATGGCTGAGAGAATGGATATGTCTGAGGAATAAAATGCTTGTATATCTAGAAGGACATGACTTGCAGAGGGGATGGCACACGTTTTTATGGTATGGCAAAACTAAAGCACACAAATACTTTCAGAACAACTTGAAAAGAGATGCTTTGCTAACTACATGGGAAAAAGTAAAAACCAGAATCTATAGGAAAATACCAAGATGGGTCTCTCCGATAAAAGCATTTACTTATCCAGATTTTAGCAACTCTGAGAAAATAGTGACATATAATGGAATATTAAATATAGAAGGAAATCTCAAAACCAAAGAAGAACTAGCAAGCCAAGGACTGATACTATCATGGTTACCTTTATTGCAAATTCAATCAATATATAAAGAGGACTCTAGAACACAAGGTTTCTACAAGGAACAGCCACAATTTGATAAAATATTACTCTATAGAGAAGATAATTAAGAATATCTATAAATTTCTCTTAGAAGTGAAAATGGAAGATGAACAAGTGAAAGAAACAATGATACATTGGACTAAAAACTTTTGTCATACAATTCAGCTAGAAAAGTGGCAGAAGTTATGGAGTGATAATTGTAAATTAACCTTAGCAACCGCATATAAAGAAAATTTATACAAAATGTTTTACAGATGGCATTTACCACCTACTAGAATAGCAAAAATGTTCCCAAATGTCTCTGATAGGTATTGGAAATGTAAAAAAAACCATGAGGGAACATATTATCATGTATGGTGGACTTGTGAAAAAGCAAAAAAAAATTGGGTTAAAATACAATCTTGGATTTAAAAAAATAACAAAACTGAATATAGAACTCAAACCAGAGTTGTTTTTTACTGGGTATTATGCCAGAGAATATTAACAAACAAGATAACTATATTATATTACATATATTGACGACGGCTAGAATAGTATGGGCTCAGTATTGGAAAAATGAGAAATCTCTGTTAGAAGAAATAATTGTACAAAAAAAAGCTTAGATTAAGCAGAGATGGATAGATTGACAATGACTAAAGGCAAAGAGGATTCGGAATATTATCAAAACTTGAATAAAATTTATGAGTGGCTAGAACAAAGAAATAAGGTATAGAGACAAATGAGACATGAACAATTTGATGTATATCCAGTGAACATGTCTGTTTATCGTAGCACAAAGTTTCCTTGCCTCTGCATGTTGCCAGGTAGCTTGTTTTCATTTTCTAATTTTTCATTTACCCTTCATTTACAGGGCGGGAAATGGTATCACATTCTATTGTGAAGCTGACATTTTGCCCAGTTTGACCCACAAATGGAGATTAGTGAAAAAAGTCCCTCCTCACTGGAAACACAGATTCGAATAGAAATAGAATTCTCCACTACAAGGTGGTTTGAGAAGAATTCTGTTCTTTTCAAGTCCAGGGATTATTCTCTCCCTTGAAGCTCTCTACGGATTATGGCCTTGCAGTTCTTTCTGAGAAGTCTCTAACAGGGGTTATTGGTGTTTTTTTTTTAGTGTAGGTAGGATAATTCTATTTTAGTTCACTTTCCAACATGTTTGATTGCCAGTATTGAATCAAGGGGTGGCATGGGTAGATGTGTTTCAGAACACTTCAGTGCTGTGTCAGTTGGATGAAAAGCCAATGAAGTGCTATGTCACTTACTAATACAGTAATTGGAAAACAATTCCTAGCTTTCCTGCTCCCTGCAGAAGGAGTAAAAGGAGAGGACATGAATGGCAATCTTTTCACCCATTTTTCTTTACTATTCAGCACAGGGTTTTTTTTTTGTGGGGGGGGGCAAACCAATTAAATGATGTCACTTTTCAATACATTTATTAAAAAATAAATCCAACTTTCCCCCTCTCCCAACAGAGTGAGAGACAGAAGAAGAGGAGGAGACAAAAGATGAGTGGGGAGAGGATCTCTTTTCTTTGGTTTTTGCCTGTTTTTTTCTTTTTCTTTTCCACCCTGTACTGTTTCACTTTAGTAGCAAGTGAGTGGAGTACTATATCACCAATAAATACAGTAGAACCTCCCTAGCTGCGGATCATTATCCACTGATTCACTTATCCGCTGCCTGAAAATACTAAATAAAAACCCTAAAATACATATTTATATGTATTTCGAGGGTGTATTTATTAAAACTGGACACTAGAAGGTGCCAGAGGCCATGTAATGTACAGTGGGGTCTTGACTTGAGAACTTAATCCGTATTGGAAGGCAGTTCTCAAGTCAAAAAGTTCTCAAGTCAAATCTGCATTTCCCATAGGAATGCATTGAAAACCATTTGATCCGTATCTGCTCTTTTCCGTCCATAGAAATTAATGGGAAGCTGCTATTCCTTCTTCAACCACTAGAGGGGGATATTTTGTTTCTTTTTTTCTTAGGTCAAAAAAGGTTCAGGGAAGGCAGGGAAAATACAGTCCAGGCAGTACAGTGGACCCTTGACTTACAGAATTAATCCGTATTGGAACGGTGGCTGTAGGTAAAAAAGTCTGTAGGTCAAGTCTCCATTGACCTACAGTGCATTGAAAACCAATTAATCCCGTAACAGGCTGTTTTTGTTCCATTTTGGTTTTTTTCTGGTCTGTAAGTCAAATCTCAGTCTGCAAGTCAAATCTAAATTTTGCAGCCAGAGAAGTCTGTAACTCAAAAAGTCTGTAAGTCAAGCCGTCTGTAAGTCAAGGGTCCACTGTATAGTGTTTGATGTTTCCGCATTTTTCAGCCTTGGCCTGGGGCTTGGAACCAATCACTCATGGATACCATGGTCCTGCTGTAAATAAAATAAAATAATATAAAACAAAACCCAGCTTTCCCTGGCCCCCTGCAGAAGGGGAGAGAAAAGAGGAAGAGAATCCCACTTTTCTTCTTCTTCAATCCAGTGCTGGGGATGCAAGAATCGCTCTAAATCTCAGATTGCACTTTCACGTGACTCTGTTTAGTCCAATCCAGCCCGGAATAACTTCACCATTTGCTGACACCAAGAGTTTCCCATCCCTGTCCATGAGCAATGTGGACTGAAAGAATGCCCTGCACATTTTGTGGTACAAAAGGGTGCAAAAAGAATGGGCTGCCTTGTTTGTGTTCGTGTGTGTAGGGCACAACCAAAGAGGTTCTTACCAATATCATGTCGCTTAGTGATTGGAGAATAATTCTCATGCAGCCGATAATTTTTCACTTGGAGAGTGACAGAACTGTCAGTGCTGGTGTTATAGATGGTCTGGCCCAGCACCACTGAGATCTTGGACAAAGCTGGCCTGTAGCAGAAAAGCTGCAGTTAGGAGATTTTTTTTTCAGTGGGTTCTCTAGAGCAGAAGTAGAGACCCTGTGGGCCGCCGTGCGCTTCCCCCACCCCCTTCTTTTTCAAAAAGCCAACTCATAGAAGTCCCAACCAGGATGACCAATAGTAAGAAATTAAGGGGACCCAGAAAGGTTAAACACGCTTTAGAGTCAAAGGAAGCATGCTAGCCCATGCCTCTTCCATCATTGCTTCCATAAGTCTCCTCAGCTAGAGATCTTTAAAAAAAGAGAGAGAGAGAGAGAGAGAGAGAGAGAGAGAGAGAGAGAGAGAGAGAGAGACCTTTACCAGTGGACATTCTCTGGGTGACTCGAAATGCTTACTTTCCAGCCTTTGTGGAATATGTATATAGAGATTCCATATATTTAGGAGAAACTTATTTCTAGAAAGCCACTTTACTCGCACCACCACCATCACCACAAGTTTAGTCGAGGCTAGCTTCTCTCTTTGGCTGTTCCACTTCTGGTCCCCAGCAGGCAGGCCTTAATTATGCTTTGGAGGAAGGTTTGTGAGAGACGGTTTCCAGATGGAGGCTCTTCATGCTAGTAATTAGAAGGCACTGTGTCTGGATTGCATCTTTTCCTTCTTTGTGGATTATCCAGGATAAGGGAAAAGATGGAAGAAGTAGTGGGAAAACAAGGGAAGCTCATAAATGGAAGATGCCGTCACCCGGAGCCCTTGTAAAATCCTGTGGTATGAGGCAAGGCAAGGTGATGGCAAGAAGGAGGCCTCATCTGAGTCTTACCTGAACTCGAAACAATGAGCTGCAGTGAGGATCCAGCAAGAAGAAATGAGACTTCCTCCACAGAATTGGTCTTCAATGTACAGGGCAGCCATGTATGGATGAGAACCAGGAAGGGCCACCATGCCCCCCACCACACGTTTGCGTGAGGAGGTGGTCTTTGTGTAGCGCTGCCCACAAACCGGAGCCATGGCAGTTGCCTCAGTCATGGTGGTGCTGCTGCTGTCGTTCTTGTTTGGGAATGTCTCTGCTGACTCAGAATGTTTCCCGTCCTCCTTCAGGACCATGGCCCCTGTGAAGAAAGCAGCTTGGCTCATCCCTTCCTGAGGTTTCGTCACAGCCGAGGCCACCTTCCAGTTCTTCCAGAGAGAAGATGTGTCTTACCTGAGATTTGAGGTTCACAGCGCGTGACATTGCAGAATTCCCAGGTGAGCTGCATGTTGTGCAGCACGTAACACCACGGCTGGCTGTCATTATCTGGGTTCCTGCACAAAGAAAGTGTCCAATACATAGCTTGTGGGGGGAAATTAGTTTTGTTCACCACAGCCCCTGGAATTGTCCAGCTGGCAGGAGGATTCTCGAAGCAGGAGCAAAACAAAACAAAACCCCACCAAAAAAACAGCCATTTTCCAAGCAACGCCAATCGTACTCCCCCTCTCCAGTCAGTTCAGTTTCTTCTGTGTGCTACACAACTTGGGCGCGGTTCCTGTCTCTGGGATGCTTTGTCCCAGATGCATCCCTCAGAGCCCCATCTCATACTCTATCCCTTCTTAAAGGAACTGGCCTTCTACCCATCTAGACACAGCTCACCTGCAGAAGGGATGCGCCCCCAGGCCCAGGCTGGCTGCGTTGAGCAACTCACTGGAGTACTCAAAAAGCAGGAAGGGGGAATCCCAGGGCACACATGGAGACCCTGAGGCAGTGCTCTGAGTTGTGCCCCTGTACAGGTGTCCATTCCCACTGTAGCACATCTCATGGTGATCTGGGAGGGAAAGAAACAGCAGGTATGGAGCCTCAGATACCAGTGAACAAATGTTGTGTCATGAAGAATGTGATTTCTTCAAGCTCCCTGCCTGCTTTCTCCTATGAAGAGAGCCAGCTGCTCTTCCTGGTCGCTGCAGGGCACTCACGCTAGGATCAGTATGTTCTACCACTGTCTCGGTAGCCGCAACACAAAAGGGAGATCATCTCCAGAATGTAAATTCAGTACACATATTTCTCCAAGGTTCCCTGGGCTGATCTCGTTATTACATTTTAATCCTTTCCCTCACAGTTCAGAGCATTCTCTTCGTGTTTTGACACTGGCCACACAATGAATAAATTAGTTCAGAATCTGTAAAACACAGATGTCTTGAGTTCTTAGTGGTTTCCTGCTCTAAATCCAATAATAAAACCAATTGTATTTATAATTGGAATCATTTTTCCCAGTTTGCAGATCACTTTTTAAAAGGAGCTTGGAAAAATTCCTTCCTTCCTATTTTCTTTTCTTTCTGGGGGGGGGGAAATTGACAATGTCCAGAGTCCCTACTCCTGTGTCACACAGTGGTCAACAGGTATGCTGTCTGGTCAATTCTGGAAGTGGTGCGCCCCCCCCAGTAACTTACCCAAGCTCTGCATTTTTATTTTGCTAGCCCACAGCTAGCCTGCTGTTTCATCACCCACTCTCCAGCACAGCTTCAGAGTTGTACTAATGTAAATTTGTTGTTATGTGCCATCAGATTGGAACTGACATATAGTGACCCTTACAGGGCTTTAAGGTAAGTGAAATATTTAAGGAGCATTTTTACCAGTTCTACATGCCCCATGAGTTTCCATGGCTCAATGCATATTTGAATTCAGGCCTCCTGAGTCTTAGTCCATCACTCTATCCACTATACCACACTGGGTATCATAAATGTAAATTATTATTATCATTATTATTGTTTGTAAACATACCTACATCACACAGTGGCCCAGAAAACCCTTCAGGACAGCCACAGACCTGGTTTTCTTTCAGCTCTATACAGTGGCCCCCATTCAAGCAAGGATTTGCTGCACACGCTGTGGGTAAAAGAAGATACTATCAGTCAAAGACCTTAAACCACATCAGCCGATTTGGCCATCAAGCCCTAGCCTCGAGGGAGTCTCTGGGAGATTTAGATGGGAATATTTATATTAGCTACTGATCCATTAATTGGCTATCCTAAGGATTTTGCATGCAAAACATGTGGTCTGCACTTGAGCCATGTTGCCTTGGACAGAAAAAAGAGGTGAGCTCTAATTGAAGAATCAGGTGAGACTCCATTAAGCCAGTGTCTAATACATGGCCTGTTCTAACATTCTCCCTCTCTTGTGTTTGGTTATCTAGGACAGTCTTAATCTGTTGATCCACCCAAAAAGGGGTGAAAGCCCATCTTCCCCCTCTACAGTAAGCCTATTCATTTTGCTCTGTCATCTCCTAAGGAAATAACAAAGTCTGTTCTTAGTGGTGAGTTATTATAGTGATTCTCCAGATACTGCTGGCGACAACTCCCATCAAGTCTAGCCAGCATACTAGTCGTGGGAGATGATGGGAGCTGCAATTCAAAAACATCTTGAAGGCCACAGTCTTCTTTCCCAAACAACACATTATGAAACAGTTCTCCCAGTAGACCCAGAGGGGCCAGTATTGTTCTTTCCCTTCAAAACATGCCTTCTAGCTTGAAGAGCCCTTTGGGGAATTGCCTCGTTCCTGGCTTCTCTCATACTCGTTGCACAACTTTTCTTTAGATTCTTTAGATTTAAGGGGTTAGGACTCCATATTTTGGAAGCGTGGGAGGAAGTGGGCCACCTGATCTCAGAAGTTCCCTTGAGTAGCATGATATCCCGCTTCTTCCTGTCTCTCTGTGCCCCATGACAGCTGGAAGACAGACATCACCACCCTATAAAGCCTCTGCTTCCCAGGTACATATGTATTAGCCACTAGTACCACATTTTAACTCTACTGTACACACAAGAAAGGCGGGACGAGTATCATTAAAATGGCAGACTAGCCAGTACTGTACATATCCAGAGTGCATATATCTACTTGGTGTTGCCATTTCCACCCAGCGGAGCCATATCAGGCGAAGTCACAGCACCAGTCCCTGAGTGGTACTAGTGGTGCCTTCCCCCTGGCCCCGAACAGTCGCTTCTGGGTGCGGGTGCTGGGCCTAGACCTGTGGTTGCTGACATTTTGACTGGCCACTACTTTCATGCTCATGTTTGCTTCAGGCATTGGCATCTTTACCATTTGTGGAAAGTTTCAGCTGTTGGTGTCTGCCATTCAGGATGCTGATATAGAGGCAGAATAGGAAATGATAACTTCCCCCAATCAGACGGCCACTCCAGACTGGTGCTGGCACTCAGAACAGCTTCTGAGGCTCATCCTCTGTGAGCCCAGGCTCAAACAAAGCCCTCATGTTATGACAGATATACGTACAAGGCTGTGTGGGTCTTTACAGTTCTGTATTACAAAATGTTTAAGTTCTAGGGGGAGACAGATATTGGTAGTGACGTAGTGGGCCAGCAGTGTGGGTGAACCACAGTCCTTTTTTTAAACCAGCAGAAACAATGACATCATCGGCTGAGGCAGTATTCACCAGTGTGTGATCTTGTCGCTTGTCATCTACCTCCTTTTCCTTTACTTTATCCAAAGAAGTAGTTGTCACACCCAATTCTTCTACCCTGTTTCCCCGAAAATAAGACCTAACCTGAAAATAAGCCCTAGTATGGTTTTTCAGGATGCTCGTAATGTAAGCCATACCCCAAAAATAAGCCCTAGTGGAGTGAAACCCCGCCCTCCACCATTGTGCAGCAACCAGAAGAAGATGACAGGACTGTAAAATAAAACATCCCCTGAAAATCAGCCCTAATGTATTTTTGGAGCAAAAATTAATATAAGACCCTGTCTTATTTTCGGGGAAACATGGTAATAAAACCGGTTTATTGTTTAACATAGCTTCATCAATTTGTGATTTTTGTTCATCATCATCCAACTTTAACAATAAATCATAAGTCTTAACATGATTAAAACTGGGTATATCTTCATGGTACAACAATGGCGAATAAATGTTAACTTCGTGGGACCCTTTGGGTCTGGCACCCTTCAACTCAGGCATGTTGCCAGCCCACTTCAAGTTTGTGGATTGGATGTCGAACTGCCCTGGTGTTCCCCTTTTATTGAGCCATGCGTCATTCTCCGGTGGGGTCTGAAGGGGCTGGGCCCACAGGATTTCTCTGGACCCACTGTAATCTCTGCCTTTCTCTCCTCTGTTCTTCCCTCTTTGCCCACGCTTTGTACTCCTTCCTTTTCTTTCGCTCCTCAATCTCCCCCCAGTAAGGTGGCTTTCTATACATTTATCGTCTCCATTCCCTTTCAGCGTGCTCACGGGACACCTTGAATTCTACCTACTCTCCTGACCAAGGGTCTGGGATCAATTCTACAAGTTCTTCTTTTTCCTCTCCTTCCTCTTCTCTTCCCCAACATGTTTCTGCTTCCAACCCTCTTTCTCCCTCCTTCTTATCCTCTTCCTTTCCCGCCTGATTTGCGCCCCCTTCAGTCTCTTCTTTTATTTCTAGTTTACTTAATTCCTTTTCTATCACCACTGTCTCTTGTGCTCCTGTCTTTATTTGAGAGTCAGACGGTACACTCTCCTGATCCTGGGCGAGTTGGTTCTTCACCTCACACAGTGTTGAAAGCTTTCACAGTTTAAGAACAGATCTGCCTTGGCTCATGATCTCTTTGGCGCTGGGAGGGCTGGCAAGGACAGTGACTGGTCCAGGGTCATCCAAAGAGCTTCAAGGCTTGATTGGAGATGTGGACTAAGTCTCTGCAGTTAAAAAACCCAACATGACAGCCAGGACAGCACCATTTGCCAGCTCCCTATTCTATGAGTGTCAGCTGATGCTAATCAAAACTTGTGTCATGTCAGGTATGGTTGCTTTTTGAGTCCTTTATTTATTTATGTATTTATGTATTTATGTATGTATTTATGTATGTATGTATGTATGTATGTATGTATGTATGTATGTATGTATTATATCCCGCCTATCTGGTCGGTTAAGATCACTCTAGGCGGCTAGAGTCCCATATACTTATACAGTGGATTAACAAAGGGACCTGCCTGTCTGGATTCGTGCTGGGCAGGGCTGTGGGTGTTTTTTGTTTATTTGTTTGTTTGTTTGTTGTTGTTTTTTGATATGGTAAAGTGGATTGTAATTACAACTTCATTCCTACACTTCAAAATGTACATCACTGAATATTAAATTGAAAATCTGCATTTCAATAATCAGAGGTGCCTGTTTACATTTTGTTTGGATGAATGTGTGGATTTAAATGTCATGGGAATCTCAATTTTGGAAATACAGTGATGAAAATCAAAGGTTCCCATGTCACCATTGATTATAAGTTGCTTTAGGACAGAGCTGTGCTACTGTGGCCCTCCAGATGTTTTTGGCCTTCATCCATCTTCATCAACATAGCCAATGGTGGTAGACTGTGGGAGTTCAAGTCCAAATAGACATACGGAGCTTCATAGCTGCCCACCCTTGATTTAGAACGTATATGCTGCAGGATTCTTGCCAAATAAACCTTCTTGATTAAGAGTTTATATAAATGAAATTATAAGAGGTATGACTCAAACATCTTTCTGACAAGAAATGCTCTTGCAATCCTCCTTCCTAAATATCTCATTAATGTAAATTACATGCATTATACCCTGGAACAATGTGGCCCAGGCCAGATGGCGTGGTATAAAAGTATAATAAACAAACAAACAACATTCTAACAGCCTGGTTTCTTCTAAAGGAGAAGAGCTGCTTAGGGCCACTGGAGCAAAGAAGCAGTGAGAGATCAAGGAAGAACATCCCACGCTGCCACTCTAAGGCAAATCTCAAATACCTTCTCACTTAAAATGAAAATCTGTTGAAGTTGGTTAAATGTACTTGCAGACAGTGTTTATTGGGGGCCTGAGAATAAAGAGACATCTAGAGGAAGACTGGGCAAAACATAACATCTCTTAATTTAATATGGGTGAAATTGTCATTTTCCCTTTCCCAGGAGCGATTTCAAATAGAACATGGGCCACAAATTAACCAGCCTGGGTAGCCTTGCCTCATCGGATAGTAACCACGTCTTTTGCCCCATCTGCCCACAGATGAGTCTATTTCTCCCTTTTGTTTCAAACAGTAGCCTGTCTCTGCCCAAGTCTGACCTTTGCCATGCACTGGCTTGCAAGCAATGTTATTTCCAAGGCAGCGACACTCCTGTAGTCCAGCAGGCGGACGGTACTGCAACCAGGTATCCTTCTTGCCGAGGTGTGGGGGTCTTCCTGCTCCAAAGCAGCTTCCTGTGAAGCAAGGGTATAGGGTGACTCTGAACTTCCCACCCTCTGGAGAGGAGCCAGTCCCTCTCAAAATACATCACTTCCATGGCTTCATTTACACCCTAGTGGGCAAAGCACAGTTGTTGGATGGCAAATCCCATCTGCCCTGGCTGCAATGTAGCCAATGGTAAGGAAACATGGGAATTGCAGTCCAATGATATTGGAAGGGACACACTTTGTCCACCCCTGGTTCAGACATAATCCACTCGCCTCCATTAAGACAGGCAAAACTTTAAAGAAACAAAAACAAAAAACCACCCAGTTCCTTACAAGTGCCAACACACAACAGCTATAATATCTCCATGCTACTTTGGAGCTATCTGGTACAATACAAAAGCTGAGGTAAATAGAATCCAAGGCCAGCCAATTTATTTGGGCACCTGAGGTAGAAAATCCCATAATCCTCTTTCCCCTTCACTGGCCGTAAAATTACACCACATGGATAAATCATTAACTATTTGCTGCTTTTGATGGGGCTCTACATTAATCTGAGGAAGTCACCTCAGCTTATCTAATGGTAGAGCCAGCCCTGCCTGTTTAAAGAGCTTTTTTAGTTTGTCAGCGTGGCAAGGTGAACACATATCTAAGGCGACGACTAGTCGACAATAGAGCTAGATAGCTTCTGTAACTGCGGCATTCAATAAATCCTGGTACCTTTCTCGCAGTGTCTTCCATGGAAACCAGGCCTACAGATGCAGTGGAATCCGTTCATCCTAGCTTCACAGGCACCGCCATTTTGACATGGGTTTGGGTTGCAGAGTCCTGCAAAATGATGCCAAAAATCAAGCATGCCCAGGTAGAAGTCTCAGAATTTGGTATTAAACGCCACAACAGGGGCAGGGGACCACATGTTCTTAGTCATAAAGCTTGACAGTGTTGCCGCCACACCAATCTGAGACTTGTTTTCTTGGGATTAAGCACACTGTAGTCTAGGGCTGATATTCAGAACCTGGTGGAATGTCTGTCTCCACTCCAGGTACAAGTGACTCACCTGTCAGGCTTTCCTCTTGCCGGCAATACTTCCACTTCTGGTCTCGGTCATAGTTCTCTGTGGTGGCACACCTGAGAAGGAAGAGCCTTGTCTCATGGAAAGAATACATGGAAGCTGGGTCTAACCAATGGGTGGCCAAAATGTGGCCCATGGGTCTCGATGCAGCTTTTCAGGGCCCCGAATGTGCTTCCCTCGTCATTGGAGACTAAACACTCCAAAGACACGTAGACACATTAAAAACAAAAGGCAATTGTGCCTCTGGGGGCATTTAAAGTCCTCCCTCCACTCCCAGCCTGTTTAGATCAGAAAAAGTCTTCTTCTTCTTCTTCTTCTTCTTTTGAAAAATGACAGTGACTTTCTGATCACTCCTGGATTTGAACACTAGTGAGATATAATTCTCTAGAGTCCTGATGTGGAGGGGGAAATGGCCCAGGACTCTCCAAAGTTGCCATGCTCTGGTTTGAGCCCAAATGGTTTCTTTCCTGATTGCATTTGCGTCTTTTCAGTATCATTCCTACTTTTTGTTTGGTAAACCAAAATGGGAAGTTGCAAGTCCTACTTTCCCCACTTCCTCAGGGAACATGTCCATCAAGGTTCAATGCATCCCTTCTCCTTGTCTCTCTATCCAGTGCTCACTCTTCTATTTCCTGGTGAAAAGATACTTACCAGGGCCGAGGACTGAGAAAACTACCTGGGAGACAGGAGTTGTGCATTTTGCGCTGATAGCGAAAAGGGAAATGGCAAGGCTCCTCACTGGGTGGTTTCCCTGCAAGGCAAATAAATGGACGTGTTTCTCTTGTTTTCAAACAAATTCCTTACAATGCTGGAAAATAAAACTTCCTGAAAATTTCCACAAATAGTGATGATGTACAGAGCTTCAGGTGGCTAAGAAGTCAACAAAAGCCACTTCTGTCATCTTCCCTGTTTCGATGCTGTTCTCGGTATGACTATGTTAAATGCAGAATTTTTGGTGCACGGTTCTTTCAAGGTCAGAAGCCAGGCTGTTGTGGGATAAGAAGTGGTTCCACTAATTCCATTAGACTGTTAAGAATCATTTGTTCTATGACTTTACAAAGTTGACAAAGTAGTGAATTGGGGGGGGGGATAATTTGTGGCATTCTTTCTTTTATTTGTTAAAAATCCATCCCTGGTCTGTGTGACTTCTTATAGGGAATGGTTGGTGGCAGCTTAGTGAAACTGTGGCATGCCCCAGTAGGTCTGGGTTTGTCACAGTCATCTTCCCTGTTTCGATGCTGTTCTCGGTATGACTATGTTAAATGCAGAATTTTTGGTGCACGGTTCTTTCAAGGTCAGAAGCCAGGCTGTTGTGGGATAAGAAGTGGTTCCACTAATTCCATTAGACTGTTAAGAATCATTTGTTCTATGACTTTACAAAGTTGACAAAGTAGTGAATTGGGGGGGGGATAATCTGTGCATTCTATCCCTGGTTTCAATATTGCTTGTGACTTTCTCCAAATTTTCAAAATCCTGACAGTCAAGATAGTTATTAAAGAGTAATTAAGGAGCCACTTTGTTTTGTTACTGTGCCAAAATGTCTGCTCTACACAGATATTATCAAGGCCTGCTGCCATGCCATTTTTGCAGCTATAAATCACCTTTTCTAATTTGCTTAAAGTCAATGGTCTTGTAACGTCATTGGTGTCTGGTTGCTTGTTTCTTTAAAATTCTGGTTTCTTATTCCAATATTCAAATCTGCTGCTTGATTGGCTGAAATGTTTGCATGAATAGGGCCTTGAGTTGGGACATTGTTCAGACACTTTAATGATTGCCAGAGTACCACTTTGCATATAACCAAACAGATCAAGAAATCAGTATGTATTCCAATTCTGAAAACACAGCATAGACCCATAATGAGCCACCTCATGTCTGGCCATCAAAAGTACCATTCCACAGAAGATTCTTTCATTTTATTGCTAGATCATTATTATTATTATTTCCCAGATTTACTCTCCTATCAGTTCCCTGTCAGACTAGCAGAGCTGGGATCAGAGGAAGGAAGGAAAGACGCAGGGGGGAGGCCTGTGAGCTGGAAAGGCGAATCGCAGCACCTCCAATATGAACAGTGAACTGAACTCCCAAATCAACCCACAGCCCCTCTGTGAGCACTGACTGCAATTTCAAGTGTAATCAAATTGCAGCAAAATTAAATTGCGCTGTTTCAGCATTTCAGTGTAGTTGTACCCGGAGAAAATGAGAGCGGAGAGATCTGAAGAAGGGGCTACTTAGGTTTTACAAACAGAGTAATGCTGCTGCTAGGGATGTGAAGGGATCTCTCTTGCTTTTGCTCTCCCTTATGAAATTATCCTTCCACTTTTAGTTTTATTTCTTAAATCTAAATGAGTAAGGAAGCAAAGAAGGCAGTAATCAAAGAAAAAAAGTTAAGCATTTGTTTTTACTTTCCTTCCTCAATCTCCATGGCTTTATTTGTTTAGTTGGTTTGTTAGGCAGGCAGTAGAAAATGAAGGGATTTCTTCAGGGGCAATCCAAGTGAAAGAAGGCTGGGAAGCTATGCAGGCTAGGTAGCAGCACCTTCATCATGACCACCATGTGCACAACCACATCTACGATACCAGCGCCACTGTCCTTCCTCCGATGGCCTTGCAGGCAGGCACGGAACCAAAGCTTCCAGAGCTGCCAAAAGAATTGTCGCTCCTCTTCCTAGAGGAATCCGAGGAGTTACTGGTTTCCGAAGATCCCCAATCTGATTTGGAACCAGTAACAGCAGGGAAAGCTTCACAGCCATTGTCCCAGAGTCATCTGTTCTTTCCTCCCAGACCAGCAGCACCCCTGGGACACAGAGTTCTTCCCAGGCCAGCAGTCAGGGGCAGGCAGTGGGTCCTCGCTTGGGCAAACATGGCAGAGGGGCCGTGTGGGATCATTTCACGGTGCTCGGCGATGACCCACGGCTGGCACACTGCAATACCTGCCTTGGGGTGGTCCGGAGGGGGGTCAGACCCCAAGCATCTCTCCTCCACCACCCTCCACCAACATCTGGAGAGGCACCACCCAAGGCTCCTGTCCAGGGAAGGCACTTCATCTGCGCCATCTGGGAGAGGGAAAAGAGCAGCTCCCAGGGAGGCAGAAGGGAGGCAGGAGGAGGTGCGTCTTTTCAAAAGGAAAGCCAGCCACAGAGACTGGCGAAACGTTAGGAAGAACAACCTTCAGAACACGGCCAAAGCGCCCGAAAAACCCACAACAACCAACTGTTGAACTCCTGCCTGCTGGATCAAGTCAGACCAACTACCTCAGTGCCCGATGCGGCCAAAAAAAGGCTGCTTTCCTGCTGCCTTTTCTCTCAGTGCCTGGTGGGGCCAAAAGAGCCTGTTTTACTGCTGCCAACTTCCTCAGTGCCTGATTGAGCCAAAAAGCCTACTGTGTTGCCAAATACCTCCTTGCCTCCAGTCCTCCTGAGGGCAAACTCTACTTCACTGACAAATGTAATGTTGTGCTGAGCGGAAGACAAAGGGACCTCTCATTCTGTTGGGGCTAAATATAACTCTATGCCATGGGCTTCTGTGCCATGTGGTAAACTCTCCTGGGGGGACCCAATTTGTGCGTGAATAACTCAGAGTTTCGATACCCAACCTTCACCAAAGTTGGCAGGCATGTTGGGGAAAGACATAGGAAGCTCTGTTGGGGGGAACTTTCCTGGTGGGATCCTCTTTGGGACTATATAACTCGGAGGTCTGTGATTCAAAGTTCACCAAATGTTCAGGAGTTATAGAAAATCGTCTGAGGAAGCTTCCCAGCAAACGTGGTGTCTCTAGGTCATCGGGGATCAGTGTTGTAGTCGTTTAAAGTGTAGACAAATTGATAGATCGATTCATTGATTTGTCAAAGAATATTCATATATTTATATTCATTGATTTGTTAACCTCGACGTATAACGGATCAAAACAAATTGCCATTTTTTAGATTCATCCCCATCTCTAGTAGTGATACATTGTTGTAAAGATGGGGGGGCATGTCTGTAGGTCGGGCTACTGTGTCACAGGCATTTGGGGTATGATATTCAAGACCAGGGGGAAATGCCCCTGCATTCTTTCTTCTCCCTTGATCATTTTCCAATTTTAATTTTTTTTATTTCTTACATGTACTGTATGAGAGTAGCACAATATGAGAGTAGCACTAGATCACCCTATCCCCTTATTGTTGGGTTTTCATTATTATTATTTCCCATATTTACACATGAAAGGATTGGCAGAGGAGGGGCCAGAGGTAAGAAGAAAAGAACAGTGGGGGGGGGCAGTGGCTGTGGGCTGGAATGGGAATCCCATCCAGTATGAACGGTGAACTCTAGAGTCAGTCCCCAGCCTTTCTGTGAGCACTGACTGCAATTTCAAATGTCATACAGGCTGTGAATCAAACGGTAGCAATTCAGCTTTCTAGTGGAGCTGCACTGAACATGTAGCGGACTGTTCTCCAACCTGGCTGCAAATCTTACTGTACCTAGCCAGCAATCTAACTGTGGGATTGATCATCCAAGACATCAGAAAAAAAATTGGCAGGCAGGACAGCCAGCTTAACTTTGCAGAAAGCACCTGTCTGGAGGAGTAAACAGCAAAATGCAGCTGAAGGAACTGGGTCAACCACAATTAACATATGCTATTTTCTTCTAGTTGTTCCTTTAAAATTGACAATGTTCCAAGCTCCAGTTTCTCCCTTGCCCTGGCTTTGAGTAGCCATATGACCTGATGGGCCAAATTTTACCTAAATATCTCTGTGTGCCTTTCTCCACCATTGGTTGTCCCAGAAGCAGTTCTGGCCACCACCCCCTCCCAATCCTTGCCTGACTACATCTGTGATGCTACAAGAATGCCCCCCTCCCATCACATTGCAAGAGACAGGCCTTGTGACATCACAAAAATCGAACCCCAGTACTTGGGTACTGACATTTCAGGGAATGGGATGCTGCTGACCTCACGAACCTACAGGAGGACAGTCCTTTTTTTGGAAAGACTCTCAGACGTTAGTCCTCTGTTCAAAAGGGCCATCCATTCCAAGTCTTGGTTAGAGATAAAGAAGGATAAGAGGGGAAGGAGAGCAAGATGGACCTTGAAATTGCCCCTTAGCTCCTGGCTCACAGTCATCTGGCTCACAGTCCCAAGCACTAAATGATGGTATTGATTGCATTTCTGTTGAAATGTTGATAAGTATTTCTACATTTGCATCTAGACAGATGCATGAGCCCAGGCAAGTACTATGCAAACTTTTGTGCCTTTTTAGGCATTCTAGGAGTTCCCCTCTCGACCACTGCCCTTGTCAGACACAAGTGTAGAGTTGATACTCACCATCATGTTCTCTCCTGGGTGGCTTGTGAGGCGGAGGCTACCAGGAAACAAACACACCATACAATAAATGGTTGTACTGGAGCAGCCTGCTCATATATATCAGCCCAGTTCACACATATTAACCCAGCAGGCATATCTCTTCCCAGCCTGTGAAAAACCAGCCTCCATTTCGAAGAGAGGGTTTCCAGGATCATAAAGCAACTTAAAGGCCAATGATGGGCTTGCATTTAATTAGCCCCCAAAGGCACAAACAGCTCATCAAAGCCATTCTGTTGAGATCTACATCTATGTCTTTAAAAGCTTTCAGCCCCTTTTTTTCTTCAAAGCATAAAAATAAATCAAATATCAAGTTTCTATCCCAGAGGCCTTTCTGTAAGACTTCTAACTTGTAAGAAGGTATCGTTTTATGGCTAGAGTACAGTATTCTTTTAACAAATTCCGTTGTTAGTAGTTAGTACAGTAGTTGTAGTAATTAGAGATGGCACCTCAGGGACAAAAGATTGTTTCATCTTATGGCTTTTAACTGATTGATCAGTTAAATTTGGATGCAAATGAAAACAGATCTTTCTAAACTGAAATAACTTTAGTGGATTTTAGATGATACATACTGTTTATTTCTGGCATTTTTATATTTCTGGCCATATTTTTTTTTACATTTTTTTCCAGCTGGTTTTATAATTGTTCCATCATCTGCTGTGCCCTATTAATTTAAGGCAAGTAAACAGTACCCTCCACTGCACATGAAGGCAGGAAGCCAGCTTGGTTAGTGTCCAAAAGAGTTGTATCCTACAGGTATGGATAAGAGCAGTCTTGGCCAGACCAGCTGAGGGGGCTGCCTTCTAATCTCCTCCATACCTCCACGTTTGCCCCACACCCTGGCTCTCAGTGGTTGCCTCACTGTTCATTGTTGTATCACATCCAGGTCTGAATGAAGAGGCAATTCAATAGGAACTTTGAAAGTGCAGACATCCAACGCTAGGCTGAGGAATCTCCACACATGATTATACATAATTTATGGAGGGAATGGCCCTACTTCAGCAGGACTGAGTGCTCATTGTTTCCTTTTGTAAGTAACCCAATTTACAGGCTTTCTTTGCTGGAGGAGAAAACACATTCTTTAGAATTACTTTTTTAATTATTTTTTTAAGTTCCCAAAATAATGAAGCAACATCATGAGGCAGCTTTGCATCTGCTCACCAGGTTTTATTTGGGATGTCTGTGCATGCCTGCGAGTGTTGGCTTCGGGCAGAGGAGGGGGTGGGAGGTTAATATTTTTCCAAGTCTGTATGAGATCTCCCCCTGGCACTGCTGAGCCTCTAGAATCAGAAGGGAGCATGACCATGAAACTAAAAATACATTTCACATTTTTTAAAATGATGTAGGCACAGGGAGAGGAGAGGAAAGTGCTGTCAGTCACTCACTACTAAAGTCAAAGACATTAGACCTACCGGGTTCCCCTACAGTTTCATACAGGATCTCAAACAGCAGCAGAAGTGCTGGGATGTGACTAGACCAAAATAGAATAGTTGAAGCTCTGAGAAAACAGACATCTCCATGGCGAATACTTGAATTCTCTAGACTATTTGCATAAGGACTCTAGTGTAGGCACACAACTGAGAATCAAGGCAACTGGCTTCCTAGTCCTATGTTTGAGTTACAAGCCCAGTGCACTCAGACCCATCCCTGGGGCTTGTGAGACACCTGAGGGGGCCTAGCTCCACATTTCACATGGCTCTAGAACTTTCCTTGCTTCTATTCCACCATGCCTGCCTCAGCCAACCACTATTATCCTCCCCTTTCCCCTTCTCTCTGTCACCCATCCCATGGACAAATGTCTTGCCCATCTAATGAACAGCCTCTGTATCTTAAGAGTAAGGTTGCAGGACTTGGGCATACCAACTATAATAGATTGAGAGGGACCTAAGCAGTAAAAGAGGAGGAGACAAAGAGATGTCAAAGGTATGTTCTGAGATCTCACCAGAAATGGCTCCCCTGGACTCAGAATCACAAAGGCCAGCAGAAGAAGCAGCTCGGATGTCATGGCAGTGCCTGGTCTGGGGTGAAATGGCGAGGCGTGTGCTCTGCTTCAGGCAAAGCAAACAGCCCCAGATCGATACAACTCAAAGCAAAGGTCTTTGGGTAGGATGTAATCAGCAGCGTGGGGATTGCAGCACCCACACAAACAGTGAACAAAAGCAAAGTAATCATTAGCAGCCAAGAACAGAAATATTTTAGGACAATCCTGGTGGGATCTCCTCTGCTGTGCTTTTTTCTCTGCATCCATGATGAGCCTTGTCATTGACAGAGCCCTCAAGGTGACATCTACGTCTTATTGGTCAGACCTTAGCATTATTAATGATTTTTTGAGTTGATAGACGTATACTCAACAATTCATCATTTGTTACTCTCTGTTTTTACTCTTTTGTTGTCATGACCCAGCATTGTTTGTATCCAGGTCATGCTCTGTGAGGAGCTGGAACAGTGAGCAAAACACAGGTGTGGACTGGGTTGGGAGAAAAGGATAAGAGCGCTCCACACTTCCCACCCACCCCCACCTGTCAAACATTATCAGGCTTTTATCTACCTGTCAAAATGGGTGGGCTTTTAGTACAACAACAAGGCAGGCTGGGTCCGACAGGTTTGCTCTGGGCTGTGACTGTTATGGATACAAACAAGGGCACGGCAGTCAGAAAGCAAAGACAGCAGCCCCCATGTTCTTTCTGCCAAATAACATTGCTGCTTTGTTTGCTGGAACAACAGTTTTCCTGCATGGTCCTGGCTCCTTACTAGTGTAGAAGCCAGTTGGCCATCCAGCTTCATCCAGCCTAGATGAAGGGCCCACATATTCAGGAGCAGGTGCGTCTATTTAGTCTACCATACCAAACATGGTGGCCACTGAAGGCTGTGAATGTTCCAGTTGTTACTTCTTATAGATGATTCTTTATAATTCATCATAGGTGTTGAAAACTGTGTGGTTTGAAGTTGGACAACCTGATGAGTTTATACAGTCTGTTTCTCTGCATGTTTACTCGGAAGTCAGTCTCACTTGGTTCAGTAAAACCAAGCTTGCTCCCTAGTCTAATGAGTTGATTATTGAGGCCCTTGACTACAATCTCAGATGCACTTACCTGGGAACAAACCCTATTGCCCATTGTGACTTAAATTCAACTGTTTGGTCCAACTAGAACTGGCTAACTGCATTAATGGAACATACATTAGTGCTAATGCATTGTCCAGCAATTAATTCACCAAGGACATGACCAGACAGAAAATTGTCCTAAATTGATGTGAATTTCTTTATACAACTCTTAAATAGCTATCACTGTTCATACAGACATTTTTAATTATCCTGGAAAGGTGTGTTTGAAGTGTCCACACATTACATAATCCTTCTTCTTGTTGACCCTTCTCTATATCATTAGCCACTTCCATACCCCTTTTGCCAGCATTCTTTAAAAAAAATGTTTAGCAAGTGAAATAGTGTTGAACTAACAAGACTTGGTATGCATCTGAATTCCTGCTGTATCAGCACTAAGATACTTTTTTAAAATACAATTTACAAATTGCATTGTAGTTTGAGTCTTTACCAGTGCGAGCAGAAGGCAGGCAAAGGGAACAGGGTTCACTGCCTCACCTTGACCCACTCTGTGGATCATCCATGAATGATGATAAGATCATTTTAACATGTCCAGCAATTGCTCCAAATAACCAATAAAGCAACCACACAAGCCAAATACAAGAGAAAAGAATGCAGTTGGAAATGCTGCCAAACAAAACAAAACACCCCAAATCTTCTGGCTGAACAAAATACACCCATATAATAATGTCAAAAGAGTAACATCACAACTAGAATTAATGTGGTGCATCCAATGGAATAAATATCAACAGAACATAGACAGTGAGATAAGCACCTGTCTAGTCACTCCCCAAGTCTGCTTTGTGAGAACATACAAGAGTAAGCACAGTTTCCTGTAGGCAGTGATGTTCACACAGGATCTCTACAACCTGTGAAATACAGTCTTTATTTTTCTTTAGTGGCAGACTGGGCTCCATCAGCCAGTTTTATGTACAAGAAACTGCATGAGTTTATTTGAACTTGAAATATCACTGTATCTGTGCATCATGTCCTCTGATGTAGCAGGGAGCAGGTACTTAATGTCTCAAAAAGCAGCAATGGTGTTTTTTTCCCAAAATATTTTTACCCCACCTTTCTACTTAGGATTTTATAATTTTTTGCTTTGACTGTTTTTCACATGAAAACAATGTCTTTTCCAATTCTTTATATTCTGCCATTCTCTCTCTCTTTTGGTCTTGCTGCAATTCTCATTATTGAACCCCCCCAAAAAAAGGCTTTACTTGTTCCCCATACTTTTATCATTGATGTTTTTGGAATCATTTTTGTTTTATACTCTTAATGGTCAATTGAAGGCATCACCTGTTCCTGTATTTTGTCCACGAATGATTCAAGACCCCATGGTTGGCATACTCTCCTTTTACTTTTGAAGATAAAGTGAATATGACAAAACAAGATACCTCTCCAATCCTTTCTGTCTGCCTCAGAACCTCTCACTGCTTGGAGAAGTGGAGGAAACATAACACAGCCAACAAAATGCCTTGTGGCCTAAATATTGTACTCCATGTTTTGAGAAACCAGATTGTAAACCATAATATCTCAGTCTTAAAAGTGCCACAATGTTTTTGACATACTATTGAAACTCCAAGCATCTTCCTATTGCCACTTCGTCTTTCTTGCACATGCTTTTTGCCCTTTCTTTCTTTCTTTCTTTCTTTCTTTCTTTCTTTCTTTCTTTCTTTCTTTCTTTCTTTCTTTCTTTCTTTCTTTCTTTCTTTCTTTCTTTCTCATACTCCCACACATGTCATCTCACAGCAAGCAGCTAGGAGCAGATATACTATAAAACTATCCATTGTGTCTACAAATCTCCTCAAAGTCCAGGCAGAAAAAAAATTGGGGTAGAAATTGTGTTTAAACAGGAAACACATCCACCTCCTTTTCATGCAACTTTCTTAGGTAGTTGCATTTCAAAGTACACAATTTATTTATTTATTTTATTTATATCCCGCCTATCTAGTCTCATTGAGTCCACTCTAGGATACCCAATGGTAGTTTAAAATTATTCTATAATTAAGTAAATTCATTCTATATACTTATTTTAAACTAGTAACTACTTAAATCTGAGTGGGTTTATGGGGATTTTTTTTATTTCTTAATACTAAGAAATTCTACAATTAGATACAAAATAGAACAGGGGGAAAAATCTACTAAGGTCCACCCCTTCCCCTCAGACCATGCCCTCTTTGGTCTGTATGGCCTTTAAGCAGTTGGCAAACTGAGAAGTGGCTATCAAGCTCGTGGAACTTCCCCATTCCTGCTTTAGGTGTATCCAAAGGCTTGAGGATTAAGATCATTTCATCCTCCTGGTCTATCTCCAGATCAGGATGTGGTCTGAGAGAGTGATCCTGCTCAAAGGGTGACAGGTGGTACAGGTCCATGGTGGCAGTAGTGGCAGGCACTCCAGCAGAAGCCGGATGATGCTATGGAGAGGATTTTGAGCAAAATCTCAGTCTCTCGCTCACACTTTTGAGGCCCCACGAGGTTGGGCTACCAGGCTCATCAGATTCCATTACATTCTGACTAATCGCGCCACAGCATGGCATTTTCCGGTGGGCAGCTGCTATGTTGAAGTAATACACTAGAGGGTCAAGTGCACTGTTGATACTAGCAAGAGCTACGCTTGCTCTTTGGCCTGAGCATGTGAAAGGCAACAGTCCTGGAGCGGAGAGAACCCCAATCCGGCCCAAGGCATGCAGGATATGGATGAGATGGAAGGGCAGGAAACAGAGGGCAAGCAAACCAGTCACCATCAAGAGCGTATGAAGAGAATGCCTGCGTAAGGAGATGGCCTGGACTGAACCATGAGTGAGGTTCATAATGCGCCGGGCGATCACAATGGAACACATGACAATGATGAGGAAAGGCACAAAGAAGCCCAGGATAGAAAAGGCAAGGACTGTGGCTGCCAGGCTGCCACTCCAGACGTAATCGGGGAAATTCTCCATGCAGGCGGTATTCCCATTTGGGAAGCGATAGGTGACAGTGCTCTTGGAGAAGAATATCAGGAGTCCAATGGCCACTGAGAACCAGATTGCCATAGAGAGCAAAATACGGTAGAGGGGCCACCTCAAGCGCAGGTAGTGGATAGGGTGGATGACAGCAAAGTAACGCTCGAGGCAAATGCAGGCCAGGAAAAGGGTACAGCTGAACATGTTGGCTAGGAAGAGCGCGTTGGTGGCTTTACAGAGGCCCTCACCAAAGGGCCAGTCATTGTGTCTGGCATGATATACGGCCTGTAATGGAAGTGACAAGGCAAACAGCAGGTCGATGATGATGAGATTATAGATGAAGGTCATGACTGGTGGGGCCTGTTCCCGGGTGGCCCAGCAGCTCCACAAGGCAACACCATTGGAGGCCAAACTCAGGGCAAAAACCAGAGTATATGTGATTGGCAAAAGAAGGTGCTGGAATTCTGCTTCAGTGACACACTGCAAAGATATGGATTTGTTTGGGTGAATGCTTGGGGTCTCCCTCGAAGCAGGTGCCTCCCCTGATGTTGGAGTGCCGTTTCCCCACATCTGTAAAGTAAAAACAAGTCTGTCAGTCAAGACTATTCTTGGAACCCTTCAGGATTGCTAAACCAGGGCTGAGACACCCTTTTGGCCCTTCAAAAGTTTTGGATTTTGACTCGAGGAGTCTCCAGCCAGCATGGTCAGTAAAGGGCCATAGAAATTGTAGTTGTGAATATCTGGAGAATGAGGCTTCCCCCCTTCCCTTCTATCCAACGTATAAGAGCCCCAGGGGGGGGGGGAGAGAGACATGCAAAGAAGGGCACATTTTCTCTCTGTCTGGAACACTGCAATGCACTCAAGTGGCTCTCAAGAAGTAGCACATCTCAGGGATTCAAAGTGATTCAGATCATATGCTTTATTGGCTCATGAGAGGGAAACAAGCTTTGGAGTGGCACAGTGTTCTTTTTCAAGCTTGTGTAATAAACAGAAGTATCTGAACAATTTGGGTTGCTATCTAGCCCTCAGGGCAATCTTCTGTTTCTTCACCACAATAAGCATTCACTGTCTCTTATAAAATTTAAATCTCTTGTTGTTACATTCTGTCAAGTCAGACCCAAGGTAAGGGAGATATTTAAGGAGTGGTCCTACTCTATTCAGAGCACGTTACCATAGTCCAGTGATGGCGAACCTATGGCACACGTGCCACAGCTGGCATGCGGAGACCTCTCCCTGAGCACGGGAGTGGAGCGCTACCCCACCCCCCCGCAGAGCGCTACCTCTCTAACCCCACACCCTGCAGCTGAACCTTAAACTGCACGATTGTAAGCCACCTATTCCTGCTACCTTCCTTGATTGCAGCAGGTGTAAATCAGTTCTTTTAGAGATCAGAGATAAGGCTGCTTTATTGTTTACTGTTGTGGAACAGCCCCCAGCTTGGAAGGAAGGAAGGAAGGAAGGAAGGAAGGAAGGAAGGAAGGAAGGAAGGAAGGAAGGAAGGAACTTTTATCTTGGCAGCAATAGGTCAAGGTTTGAGAAATTATAGTATTATAGAAATATATCAGAAATATATGATTAGAGCTTCACCATATGTTATGGGATGGAGTTGTTCAATCCTATGAAGTAACACTTCTAAAATGCAATGCTATCTATTTTTATACAAGAGTAAGTCCCTTGTAGTCAGTGGTGCTTATTCCCAGGGTGGTTATAGAGGAAGACAGGCTTGATAAATGATTATTAATTAATCTTTCTGTATTTTTAAAGGATGAAGTAACAGTATGGGTACTTAATCCATTCATTGGTTAAGTATGACGTTCAGAATGCCTCCACCTGTCTTTACTTAAATTCAGTTATGCCATTTATCAGGCTCCTTAGGTGATCTTTGTTAAGATACTGGTTAGATCCCGATCATCTGAGGCTTTAGCAAAGCCCCCAGACTGTTTTTGATTCCCAGGGTCCCCAAACTGGGAACACTGAGAAACGCTGCCATGATAGATGTGACCAGTCACGGGATACTCTGCAAAACAAACTAGTGAAGTGAAAACAAAAGTAGCTTTTCTAAGACAAGCATACAATAGAGATGGGGGTTGAATTTTAAAAAACACAACTCTTCACGGAGGCTTTTCAATCCAACCCTGTCTGAGCACCTCCAATCTGGTCCTCTTTATTGTGAAAATTTGTTGGTGCCATTGGCTTTTATGGTTTTGATTTGTCATTGCTGTTTCAGTTACATTTTAGTGTCCATAGTTTGTTTGTCCTGGTTTGTAATTGTCTGTAAGTTGCCCACAATAGTGCCTTGGGACTAACGGGGTGGTACAGTATATAAATTAAATATAAATAAATAAATATAAATAAAACCATGAAAAAGGAACCTTCCAAAGTTAATCTCCATTGCATTTATCTCTGCAATTTTTGCTGAGTACAGCAAGTACAGTATTTCAAGATTCTGTTTAGACTCTAAATTGAACTGGGCAGAACTGAAATATTTAGCAGAGTCTCACTAACTGACAAAATGTGTAAATGACATGAGTTTTTTTTTCTAAACTAAAACCTCAGTATTCAGGTTTAATTGCAGTGTTGGCACTTCAAAATAAATAATTTGGTTTTGTGTTGCCATTTGAGCACTCGGGCTCAAAAAGGTTTGCCATCACTGCCATAGTCTCTCGAGACTGAAGGATGCTTACAGGTCTTACTCCATATCCCCAGTGAGCTTCCATGGCTCAGTGGGGATTTGAACCCAGGCCTTCTGAATCTTAGTCCATCACTATCTACTATGCTGGATACCTAAAAAAATCTAAAGGACCCTCCCCCAAGTTCCCTTGACAGGCCATTTCTCCTCTTGCTTGCTGCACCCCCTGCAGAAGTTTTAGTCACGCCAGAAGGGCTTCTCACTTCCGCTTTAGGTCTACCCCAGGGAAATTAGTTTGCCCAAATACCTAGCTACATTTCTTAGCAAAGGACAATTATCCCTTTGCTTGCCATCTTGCTGTTTCCTCTAATAGGCGGTTAGTTGATTTTTTGTGGCTGGTTGCATGCAACTCCCTCTTTCTGTACAGGATCTAAGGCTTTGTGGAGTTCAGAGTCTGTCTCCAAAAGCGTATGAGAATTGCTTTTGCCAGATGCTGTTGTTCCCATGATATACGCCAAGCCATCCTGTTCTTAGCAGTGCCTAACCACTGGAAGCCCTCAAAGAGGCCAAGCCTAGAAAACAGCCGCATCCATACCTTGTGTGCCTCAGTTGTCCAGAGAAGTCCTGCTCCTTCATGGGTTGTCTGGGATACAGAAAAGTTGCACAAGTAGCAATTATTTGCGTAGGGTGGTGCAGAAATCTCTTATCAGCCCATCCCTGTTTCCTGTTTTTGGCCACACTTGCGTATTTTTAGGGGAAAAAAAATATTTTTGGCCTCATGCTGATAAGAGTAGACCACTGGAACTGCAGGACTCCTTGGATCCTGCTGCTTCCATTACTCAGACTCAGCCTGAAGCCCCCCCCCCCCCGTCCCCTGCCACCCGCTTCATTCTCTCCTTGCCTCTATTCCCATACTTACATAGGATTTAGGCTTTTGATCATTAGATCATGGATGGGCGGCTGTCATCAGGCTCAGGTGTGAGGTATGATGGGAACTGCAGTCCAAAACCTTTTTTCAGGGCCATAGTTGTCCACTTTGATTTAGATCTAGCAAACGGTATCAGAAAGAGTACTCAGAGTCCTGAAGGCTTTCAGATAAGGCTTTCCTCTGGTTGCCTCCCTGCCTTGAGCACCAAATTTCACTGCCAGTCCAGTTGGGGCCATCCCAAGACATTTTCCTGGCATGAGGAAAATAAAGAAGACAGTATAGTTCCCTTTTTCATACATATTTGGTGCCCTGCCCTGTTTCACTTCTTGTTCCACAAACTGCCAACTGGATTCACATTTTGATCTTTGTCATTCATTCTTTGATAGCCTTATCCACTGCATGTGTGCAGTGGGTTACTTGGGGGGGGGGCAAAGATAGTCCATGTGGCGTTTACACCACTGTCATCCAGCAAAGAGGAGTGGCTGGGGGCCTTCTACGAGGAAGAGCCCATCATCCTTCCAGGTTGCAATGGGCTCCATTTAGTATGGTATGTGAGCAGAGTTCCATAGCGACAATGGGTTAGTATTCCTCTTTCCAAATGTTACCCCACAACTTTATCCAAGCGTCCCCAAGGTCCCATCCTTGGGACTCAGATGCTTTTGGACCTTAATTCCCAGAAGCCATAAACTGGATGACCAGTATCCAGGAATTCTGGGAGCTGTAACCTGGCGACAGCTGGGGAGAACTCAGAATGGTAACTTTTTTGGACTAGCATTCCCAGAAACTCCTACTCAGCAGGGTCACTGTCGAAGTTTCCTCAGAGATTCTGTTATTAAGCATCCTTTGGGGACAGAAAGCTGGGGATGCCTGATTTTGTGCTATTAGAATTAAACCTGGGAGGCTACTATCACAGAACCCTAAAGGTAAAGGTAAAGGTTCCCCTTGACAATTTTTGTCCAGTCGTGTTCGAATCTAGGTGGTGGTGCTCATTCCCGTTTCCAACCCATAGAGCCAGCGTTTTGTCCGAAGACAATCTTCTGTGGTCACATGGCCAGTGCGACTTAGACACGGAACGCTGTTACCTTCCCACCGAGGTGGTCCCTATTTATCTACTTGCATTTGC